TCGTACTCAACATTTTCCTTCCTTGTAAACTTACTTTTTTCAGAAACTTACTGTTAGGCAGACTGTAAAGATAAAAGAAATAGAATTTGGTTTACCAAAACCCATAAATCTGTAGTTCCAAAAAGTAAGGCTTTGCCATTCTTATCGCAAGCTTTCAAAAAAGACAACTTTTAGACAAAAAAATGGAACATAATTATGAAATTCAAACAAAAAAAACAAATAAAAAAACAAACACAAACTAAACCCTTAAGCTTATGTTTTTCTTCTCACAAGTAAAGTCAATTACATACCGGTTGATACGTGTGAAGTTGCGAGGGGAGGGAGATGTATCGTTTCCAAACCGCGCCATCAGAGTAGCATAATTACTCTCCCTCACGTGATGAATCGCCACAGACCGAGACGTCACTGGACGAACACAAAAACCCACATGAACATCATGGAAATGACAAGGCTTTTCTCGGGCATATACTATACCTAAATAATTCTTCTCATACAGTGCACGTCCCACCATCATATCTTCGTGATCCATACCCACAGAATAAAAGTCCGATCTTCTGGTGGCATTCTTAGGATAAAACACAAGACGCTTTAGTGGTTCGTATGAAACAACCTGTTCCACAGCATCCCTCGCAAGAGTCGCAATAAATCCAGCAGCATAAAGATACATACGCGTACCATTCTCACTGCCCTCATTAATACGAGCAATGTTCATCAGCCCCCAATACAGCCCACGGCGGGGCAGGGTGCGCAGGTCAGCAAGGTACTGCGGCACACGCAAAAACATATCGTCGTCGCCCTTTGTCAGATAACTAGCGTTGGGGAACAGTTGGACGGCATGGTGGAACCACATGAACGTCTTGCGGCTCATGCCAACCTCAGCCTCAATGCCCCAAAATCCTTGGCATCCAACTACTTTATTTGTTGTCACTTTTCCCTCATGTATGGGCAGCGTGAGCACATCATGCCACTCCGATGCCTCCTCCTGAACTCCAGCAGAGTAGTT